ACCACGTGGTCGCGCACGCGTTCACCAACACATACGTGTCACGGTGTTGTCCCTATTACAGAGTGCGCCGTCGCAGCCCCGAACCGCGCGGTCAGCGACCTCGCTCCACCCGCCTCTGACGAGGGTTTAAGTCAAACCTCTGTATATAACAACTTCCCTTCGTACAACGAGATCCCTACACGCCCACCATTCACGAGCTCAGTACCGGTGCGGCCGCCGCCCACCCCGTACGGCCCGCCCGACCTGACCTCGCCGCCCGACGTCGTGCACCTGGACCTGGACAGTGCGCCGCCGCCGCCGCCGCCGCCGCTGCAGCGACCCTCGTTCGACGCCAGGCTCGCTAGGAATGCGCCTTACTTCCCACCAGTTGGTGAGACATCTAAGTTTTGTATAAACACACTTGATTCGTTTTAATAAAAGAATAATATTTTTATTATTCTCGTACATGTTGAAATATTTGTACGGTACATAAAATGTAGGAGTAATTATAATTATTATTGTCGCTTCCGTCCACCCTGACTGGAAGAATCGTGTGTTGTGCCTATGGTGATGGTGATATACAATCTGTGGGTGTGTGTAGTGGTTTAAGATTACTGTAACTCATCCATGGAGGCGGAATAAATATAAATCATTTGTCCCTCACGTACAGCGGACTCGCGACTCTTGCTAGAGCAGTTCCGCGCTCAGATCGGTGAAGAGCCGATGCTACCTCCTGTCGTGATCGACCCCGTGGCCACCGTCAGCACCGACGACTACACGGTGGAAGAATTGGAAGAGGCCAAGTTTACAAGTCAAGGAGCGCACTCGGCCCACGGCGAGGTGTCGGCGGGAGCTGGCGGCGAGGTGTTGGCGGGAGTGAGCGGTGAAGTTTCTGCGGGAGCTAGCGGCGAGGTGCGAGCTGGACCACGGCGCAGGCTGCGCTGCACGCGGCGGCGCTCGGTATCTCTGGAACCGCTGGCCGTGGGCAGCGCGGGGGGCGCGCTAGGCGAGGCGCATGCGCCCATTGCGCCCCCGCCGCCGCCGCCGCCGCGGTTCGAGCGCTCGCTGTACATGCGCGCGCGCCTCACCGTGCCGCGCGCCGACTACACTGAACCCTACTCGATCTGGTCTCAACTTCTCGCTATTTATAAACAATCAGCAACTGAATATATTAAATTGCTCGCAAGTGTTACTACCAGTCACGTAATTCTTGAGTTCGATACTTACGTGACTGGTAGCTGTAATGTAATTCTATTTAATGTAATGGTAATTCCCTTTTAATGGCTTACACAAACATAAAAAATAAAAGAATTGAGAGATGAATAGAGATAGAAGAAGGGTGATAGGTGTGGGGAAACACCCAGTATCTATTCTATTGACAGTAAGTGTGAATGTGTGTGTGTACTTCAGGTGGGACGCGGCGAGTGGAGCGGCGCGCGTCGACTACCACGGCGGCACCACCTCGTCCTACCGCATGATGCGGCGCGACGGCCGCGTGCAGAGCGTCATGGTGAGCCGGTGTACCTCATACTAATTACATATCCTATAACTTTGTGCTAACTCCAATTATATGTCTCACTTATTCTAATGTACACAGTACAAGTCCACGTGTCTACTGAATACATACATGTATGTATACGTCTTGTCATTTTTAAAACGGACAAATAGTTTTTTGTACGGATGTTGGACATACATACAGCTGGTGACACCTTACAGATCCACGTAGATCGATCGGGGGAAACTGACGTCCGTCGCTGTACCGTGGTACCACCGCGCCGCGTGTCGCTGGCGGAGCGCGCGCTGCCTGCGCTGCCGGACCTGCAGGCCTTCTCCTTCGCGGGTGAGTGGAGGGGCGCGGGGGCATGAGGGCGCGGGGCGGGGCGCAGTGCTCGATACTCGAGAGTGACGCGCGCGTGTTGCAGGGCGCGACGTGCACGGCAACGAGGTGTGGCGCCACACTCTGTCGGGCCACAGCGGCGAGCTGGGCGGCGCGCGCGGCGAGGCGCTGACCTTCCGCCACGAGCTACTGTTGGCGCGCTCCGCCGACAACTACACCACCACGCCGCTGCGGTCAGTGCGCCCTCTGTGTCGCTCGCCCGTCACCGACCACACTGCCAGCCCTCTTTCTCACCGTCTTCCACTTCCGCTTGCAGATACTCCGTGCGAGTGGACAGCTCGGTACTGGGCCCTGACTGCGACGGGTACATACACCAGTTCGACGAAGTACAGACACAGCACCACGACCCTTCAATGTTCCATCTCGACATCGGTACTTGCGTTGGACATGTTTGATTTACTGAATTGTGTATTGAGAAAAAAAAATTTATCATCTTAGTAAAACAAATTACCTTATCAACTTAGGTTTACTTCTAACTACAAATACCTAGCGTAGTGTTTTATTTTGAATTACTATTTTGTAAGCTTACATTTGAAACTATTCCTATATTAATTACAACATAGACGCGACATTAGTGTCGCGAGCACTAATATATAAACATGTACTCTTTAGCCGACGCATGTGAGCAAGTCGAAATCACAGACAAAATGGAGAACGTGGAGCCGCTGCGAGAGTTCACGTCGCTGTCCCGGGCGCCGCGCCACGACGCCAACATTCAGCAGTGAGTGCGTCAGCAAGCAAGGCAAGCAGGAGTAAACTCCACGTACGATAAGCATAAGTGTTTCATTCGGTGTGTCATCGGCCTTCAGGTACAAGAGGACGTTTCAACGGAGCTACGCCGATGACTTGGAGTTAGCAGTACGCAAGAACATATTGATGCAGAGCTCCCGACACGTAGCATCCGGCAACCGACAGGGAGCCTCCTTCCAGCTGGAAGTCAACTTCCTGTCGGACCGACTGCAGGCAGAGCGCCGCGTCCTACTGGGCGTGGAGCCCGACCCCGCCGCCGATCCCGGCATGCCCTTCCCGCACGCGCGCCCCGAGCTGGACGCGCTGCGGGGCCGCCTGCCGCGCAAGTTCGACTGGCGCGAGCGCGGCGCCGTCACCCACGTCCGCAGTGAGTACGCGCCGCCCTGCCCGCCACGCTCCACACCCTGCTAAAGTGCTTGCACTCACTCGCCTGTCTCTTGTAGATCAGGGGCTATGCAGCTCCTGCTGGGCCCACGCGACAGTGGGCGCGGTGGAGGGCGCCTTGTTCGTGCAGACTGGCCGCCTCGTGCCGCTCAGCGAGCAAGCGCTCGTGGACTGCGCCCAGCCGTGAGTACAGTGTCGACTGTCGAGCTGTGTGCGTGTCCAGTATGCTCGTGTGTACAACGTCACTCACGAGTACATACACCTCGTTGCAGATACGGTGGCAACGGATGCAAGGGCACGTGGCCGTCTGCCGCCTACAACTATATGAAGAATGAAGGAGTACCTGCACTCGACGAGTACAGCTATAAAGCCGAAGTATGAAGTTTTACAAAAACAGGAGAAAGTGAATACTCCATCACTTCGGTCGTGAGGGTTGATGTGTTTGTGTCTGCGCAGGTGCAGCAGTGCCGCGCTAGCAGTGTGCCGCCCGTCACTCGCATCAATGGCCATCTCAACGTCACAAAGAACAATATCGTGGCACTGAAGGTGACAACCCACTAGTAGCTCGTTACGTGAAGATGTGTGCGTATACATACAGGTATATCGTGTGCTTGAATATATAAATGTGTGCAGGTGGCGATCCGGAAATACGGGCCCACGGTGGTCATTATCGACGGCGAGACAGCTTCCCTCGCCAGCTATAAAAGTGGCTATTATTCTGATGGCCGATGGTAAATAATATGCATTATATTGTACTTATTGAATTATCATTTTTGTTTCCCAAGTAGTCAAAACGACCTTTTGTGCAGATTGCTATTTATGGGCGTTCAAACTAGGCGTATATCAGCTCAATCGGTTGAAGATATAAGAATCGCTAAAAATGTAGTTGTAAGCTACCACTTGACACGCGTACAACCCGGGCCCTACATACATTGGTTAAATAAAAGCTTGTAATAATATTGTGTCGCTCGGTTCTGCCTGAAGAATTATCCAATGTTTAGAAAAATTGAACACGTGATAACGAAACCTCAGCTAGTGTTCAGAATTTTATTTTTTTTTTTTTAACTAAAGTGTTGACTTATATTATTTTTATGTAGATTGTGTATCGCGACACTTACGCGGAATTGAAAAATTTATAAAAAGGCAAACAAGCTCGATTTTAAAAAAGCTTACTTAGCATACGTCTGTTTCCAGTCGAAAAGGAAAACTGAACCACGCCGTGTTAGCGGTGGGCTGGACAGTGTACCGCGGGGAGACGTACTTCATCTTGAAGAACTCGTGGTCGACGGTGTGGGGCGAGGAGGGCTACGTGCGCATGCGCGGGTCCACCAACACGTGCGGCGTGCTGCAGCGGCCGTCGCTGCCCGTGCTGCGCGGCGCCGACGTGCTGCGCGTGCCCGCCGCCGCGCGCGCCGCCGCCGCGCCCGCCGCGTGATACGCGCGCTCTTGTTACCTTGTTACCTGTTCGTCTTAGTCATTAAACGTTAAGAAAGTTTTCATACCTCTCTGTTATTACTTCCACCTATTTTACCTTTGACCTTGTTTCCTTCTACACACATAGCACATAGCATATTAACGTCTATCCCAGGATAATGAAATAAGGTAGGTTTGCCAAAGATGGCCGGCTTCCGAACCTGGTCCACTTTAAAAAAAAATACCATAACAAGCGCATCACCATTTTAACTTCAGACGAAATTTATTGGGTTTTGACGAGCTTATTCAAGCGGGCTGAGGGGACTTCGGAGAGGGTGCGAGCTCGGAGGGATCACGCACCCGCCGTTTGTCTTGGCTACGCCGGACACTGTTTATTAGGACCGCATTGCGCTGCTTCTTCGGTTTTCAGTGTCCGGAAATAGCCTTCGGGCCGCATTAGGAGGAGCTGGCGACTCGGGCGTTGTATGGCTCTCAAATATATGTACTGTATCTCTGTAAAGAGGAGATACAGGTGTCAAATTTAATTATTTTCCCTGTAAAGAGGGGACTGTCTAAAACAACAATAATTAAATGAATAAATACTTGGCCCTGTAAAGGGGGATCAAAGATAATGTAAAAAATGTCACAAAATATTTAAAATTGTAAAATATAGCGAATTAAATAATATAAATATTGGTAACTCGAAAATAAGATTACTTATAGTACTGCTAAAATTCAGATTCAATATAAATCTTCCGTCCAAACTATGCGGCGGATAAGGCGGAAACCCAGAAAATTTTGATCCTCTCGTGATCCTCTGTCAGTTAAGGTAATATAAAAGAAATTGATGTCCGAAAATGGTTTCCATATAATAATGGTGGGCTATATAATGTTTCTATTTGCTAAGGGCGGGTAAGCGGGCAAAAATTATATGATTCGATCGGAGCGTGCAATATATCGGGAGAAGCGTCTCGGCGCGGGCCGTCCAACCGTTTGAAAATTCCGGGTGAGTTTGCTGAAAGAAATTTGAATAATCAGTGAAAAACCGTTTTTTTTTTTTTTTTTTTTTTTTTTTTTTTTTTTTTTTTCCACCAAATTTTGTTCAATTTAAGCGATTTCTCGTGAACTATCGGGAGTTAGTGAGTGAAAAACCTAACAAAATCGTAGATTATAAGTTGCTGTATTTAAATTTTGTCAAATCAAGTCGCTGGAGGACACAACGACCGAGTGCTTTGGTCTCGCAACCCGCCCTGCACTCTTCGGTTTCGACAGGACCTCCGCGTAGGAGGGCACTTCTGCCCTCATCTCGGAAACCTGTCTCCCGATCTCCCGGGTCGCGGACTTGAGCTCCTGCACTTCTGCTAGAAGCTCCTGGCCGTTGTGTCCCTCGGCGACAGGCGCCGCGTTTATCCTCCGCTGGTCATTTAGGGCCTCTTTCAATTCCCCAATTTGCACAGCGGCTGCTTTCAGTAGCTCGCTGTGCTCCGCCATTTTCGTCATGAGGTCCCCCGCAATTTGGCCCGGCTTTTCTGGTGCGGGGGCCGCCAAGCTCGCAACCCCTTCGACCTCAGGGAGCCGCTGGTGTTCGGACTCTTTGACCAGTTGGTAGAGGCGCTCAATGGCTAGTGTCGCCTGGGTCTTGATCTCTGTCTTCAGATTTCTCGCTAGACCCAGTTGACACTTGGCCTGTTTCAGCCAGTATCGCGCCTCCACCGTCCGGTTCTCGAATGTTCGAGCTGGCTGAGGGGACTTCGGAGAGGGTGCGAGCTCAGAGGGATCACGATCCCGCCGTTCGATTTGAATGCGCCGGACACTATTTGTCGAGGCCGCAATGCGCTGCTTCTTCGGCTGCTTATCCGTGTCCAGAAACAACCTCCGGACCGCATTAGGAGGGGCCGGAGATTCGGGGGTTGTGTCGTACATTATGGTGGGGGGAGGACTTTGTGTAGAGTGAGCACCCGGCTCTAAAATATAATAATATGTATTGTATCCCTGTAAAGGGGGGATACAGTGTCCGAAGTTAAAATCGAATTTGTCCCTGTAAAGAGGGGTTGTCAATAGACCTAGAAGCTAAATTAATACCTAGTAAAGATGATACCCTGTAAAGGGGGGTCAAATATATAATAAAATTGGCCGATAAATAATTATAAAACACAATATCAATAAGTGGCTAAAATTTTACTTCTAATTAGGTCCTGTGTCTAATCTATTAGTCAGACGTGGCGGAAACCAAGAAATATTTGGTGAGTTAAGTGTCGTCCGTCGAAAACGCCAATAAAAATTTTTTGGGTCCAGAAAAGGTTTCCCTGTCTTTTCCCTATATAGTATAAGGGCGGGTGGAAGGGCAAAATTTGAAATTTTTGTTATCCGATCGGGGCGTGCGATACGTCGGGAGAAGCGTCTCGGCGCGGGCCGTCCAACGTGAGAGTGAAAATCCGTCGAAAAGGTCTGGAGTTATTCAGTCAAAAACCTATCCAAATCGTAGATTATAAGTTGCTGAAGCTGTAATAAGAATTTAGTCGCCCTAGGTCAAATGTGAAAAAAGTTAAAAATTTTTGAATGAAATATTTTGGTCCAAACTAGGTTTAGGGGTGGAAATTAAT